GCCCGGCCCTGACTTTTTTCACTATACATTAGTTTGCCTCTTCTAGAATTTCAGGTAAGTGGAGCTGTACAGCAGGCACTCGTTTCTTTCTAGCTTCTTTCACTCGGGGCTGTCGTTTGTAGTCCTTCCTGGAGCATCGGAGCCCAGAGAAGCGAAGGGACTCACCTGGGGTCACCCAGCGCCCCTGGCGCCGGGTCAGCACAGACAGCGTCTCTGACCCCCGCCCCAACGTCTCCCCACAGGGGGAGAGGCTGAGCCACGCCGTGGGCTGTGCTTTTGCCGCCTGCCTGGAGCGAAAACAGCGTCGGGAGAAGGAGTGTGGGGTCACGGCTGCCTTCGACGCCAGCCGCACCAGCTTCGCGCGCGAGGGCTCCTTCCGCCTGTCCGGGGGCGGGCGACCCGCCGAGCGCGAGGCCCCGGACAAGAAGAAAGGTGGGTGCTGCCCCGAGGGCCGGCTGGGCACAGAGTGGGTAGAGGTGGGGCCGGGGAACCCAGTTTTCGGGGAGAGCTGCAGAGGTCCAGGGACTCCTCAATTTACAAGGCAGGGCAGCAACCCCAAAGTTTGGTTACAATTCACAAAGTACCTGTCAGTTTTGGGAGTCTTTGGGCAGTCTCCTGCCGGCCACGAATCAGGCGAGGTCTCCAAGCAGTTTACTCTGTGCCATGTCGGCGGCCTCCCAGGGCTTTTCAAGATGTGTGTCAAGACCTATGAGGTCAGTTTGCTGGATTGTGCCTGGCATTTTTAAAAATGAAATAGAGGAGCCAGGCTGGTGGCTGGTGCCTGTAGTCGCAGCTACTTGGGAGGCTGAGAGGCAGGAGGATGACTTGAGGCCAGGAGTTGAAGACTAGCCTGAGCAACAGAGAGAGCCCTCCTCTCTATAAAAACTTTAATGATTAGCCTGGCATGGTGGCTCTTGCCTGTATTGCCAGCTACTCGGGAGCCTGGGGTAGGAGGATCGCTTGAGCCTAGGAGTTAGAGGCTGTTGTGAGCTATGATTGCACCACTGCACCCTAGCCTGGGCAACAGAGCAAGATCCCATTTCTAAAAAAAAGAAAGAAAGAAAGAAATAGAAGATATATCAAAGTACATTTAATATAGTACATGTTAAATACAGTTTAATCATACATTTATTTGAGCATACGTGTGTGTCTATGTAAGGTATTGCCATGTAGAAGGTATATCTTACTCAGATCAGAAAGTTTGGAAAATACCTGGTAAAACTCTAACATTCTAGGTAAATGGTAAATACTTTGTAAGTTCTCAGTGTGTTTTTTTTTGTTTGTTTTTTTTTTTTGAGACAGAGTCTCACTGTGTTGCCCGGGCTGGAGTGCCGTGGCGTCATCCTCGCTCACAGCAACCTCAAACTCCTGGGCTCAAGCG